AACTTCTTGTAAATCCTTTAAAACTATTTTTAAATCTTTGTATGCCTTTAAATATACTTTTAAATCCTTTTAAAAACACTTGTAAATCCTTTTAAAAAACCTTGAAAAATCCTTGTAATTTTTTAAAATCCTTTAAAAATTCTTGTAAATCCTTTTAAAACTGTTATAAACTTATAAAAACTTTTAAAAACCATTGTAAATCATTTAAAAATCATTTAAAAACCTTTGTAGGCTTCTAAAACTCTTTAAAAACCATTACAAATCTTTTAAAAACCATTTAAAAACTCTTGTAAATACCTTTAAAAACCCTTGTAAACCCTTTAAAAGCCCCTTTAAAAAATCTTGTAAACCCTTTAAAAAAATTTGGCGGGAAAATTTTGAAAAAATAAAAAAATTTTGCGGGAAAATTTTTTGGCCGGAAAATTTTCTCGGAAAAATTTTTGGCGGGAAAATTTTTTCTCAGAAACTTTTTTGGCGGGAAATTTTTGGCGGGAAATTTTTGGGGGAAAAATTTTTTGAAGGAATATTCCTTCCCTTGGGAAAGAATATTCTTTCAAATAGGGGTAAAATAGCCATTAAAAATTAAGAGAGGACAAAAATGAAAATGGTAAAAAAAGAGGGTATTTTTAAAAGAGGGTATCATAAAAAGGTTATTGGTATCAATTTCTCAATAAAATTTTTGTTATATAATTATCAAACCAATTTGTAAGACATTCTTTTAAGAATAATGATCCTTATATTTAGTTTGTGATTCAACATGTAATAATATAAACAACATTATAATTTTTGTTAACTTTGAATTTTATACTTGATTTCCTATATAAAAAACAATTTGATATTCAATTTTCTATATATTATATATACTACAACGATGAAAAATATAATTAAACTTAGAGATATAGCTTAAATTAAGAGGAATATAAAATCAAATTAAAAAATAAAATTATTCTTTGGGAATTTTTTAAGGTTTCTCCTTATTGGTCCATTTAGCATTTATTTTTAATTATAATATTTATTTTTAATTAAACCAAATATCTAACACATTTAGTCATATACTTTAATTAATACTTGAAATCCACGCTTTACTATTAAATTGTAACTTAAACTATATAACTTTTTCAATTGACTATTTGTTTCCTCCATTCAATTTCAATTAACACACTATAAAATATAATTATAACTCCTCTAATTTAATTATTTTAGAATTATAACTTACATCATATTTTATCCTATAAATACTCATTTTTACATCCTCCTCCACCATATATGATATTCTCAATATTTTCTTTGTTTAATTTTTAATGTTCTTGCATGGGTTTAAAGCTCAATTAAGATATCATTGTAAGAGCTTGATTATATATTTGGTTAAAACTTTTGTTTTCAATTATATTTCTTCTTTATTTTATGTACTTCTTCATTTTTTCATTGTTTTTTATACTATTAAATATATAATACATTTGTATAATAATATTTTATGGCTATAAGGAAATTACTTTATCGATGGGATTCAAAAATATTGATTTCTGACCATCGCACCATAAGAAAATCAAGCTAAATAAACCATCTTCATTGTTTTACTTTATATGTTTTTTTATTTCTCACAAATTCATGTATAGTTATTTTATTTTCAAAGTATGTAATTATTTAAACAAAATATTTTTTGGTTATATTCAAACCAGATATTGAAATAAATAAAATTTTATACACAAATAAAGGTAATTTGTGTGTATATTTATAAGTTTACACACATATATGGATAAATTTTAACAAATTTAGTGGTTGTTTTGATAAAGTTTGAAAATGGGGTAAATTTAAAAAGTGGTATTTTTAAAAGTGTATTTTTTAAATTCTCCCAATATCATTCCTATGTTTATCATTAACAATATTATTGTTTTATCAAAAAATACTTAAAAGCACTAAAGAAAATTACTATCAAAATTGAACAATTAATCAACGAATAAATTCAAAGATATGGATGTATGCTTCTATTGTATGATTTAAATATATAAAATGTAAAAATGTCATAAACATTAAAATTTATTTAATCTATTTTTTATAAGTAATAAATAAATTAAAATAATTAAATAAATATACAACAACCCGCGCATATGCGCGGGACATTACCTAGTTTTAGCATAATAAAAAATGTTAAATTTTAAAATTAAACACACAGCAGTACTCTCATTGTCAAAATCCAGTAAACATATAAGAAATTAGTAAATTACATAACTAGTTTCAATTTTCCAAATTTTGTTTCTTCTGAAAGTTCCCAACTAGTTCGCCGAGGTTTCCACTCCTCCACTTCCGAGGCCGATGAGTAGATAAGTCAAATAAAGCCCCAAAACAACGAAACTGTCGTCGTCCCTTATTAAACAAATATCAACTTTTTCTACTATATCATTAAACAATGCTCCAATGGCCGAATGATAAATTCCTGGAAATTATCTTTCGCAGGTCCGTGTATAAATAAGTCTTCTTGAGATTGACCCTTACAAAGATTCATCTCTTCAATTCAATTCTTTCCAAAGAACACACAGGTACACTAATCTTGGAATCCAAACTTTTCTCTATATGGGTTTTTTTTTGTTTTGTCTTAAAGTCCAGTTTTTGTTTGGTTTTGTTTTTTCTCTTTTCGTGTAGCTGTTTTTGATAAGAAGAGTGATTGTAATGGATACTAGAGAGATCTCTTTACTTGAAGGTGAGACTGATAATTACGATGGTGTTACTGTAACTATGGTGGAACCTATGGATCCTGAGGTTTTTACTGAATGTCTTAAGGCTTCCCTTTCACATTGGAGAGATGAGGTATTAACAATGGTTCTTCTCTATGGTTGTGTTTGTTAAAGAAGACTTAGTCAAGATTTTTTTATTCATCATATACTGTTTCTTTTTAAAGCTTCGTTTTTGGAATGATTGTGTTGTTAAAGTTTTGATTTTTATGATTTTTGTAGGGGAAGAAGGGAATTTGGATAAAGTTGCCTCTTGGGTTGGCTAATCTTGTGGAAGCTGCAGTTAGTGTAAGTTGCTTTATATGTTGATTGGAGTATTAGTTGGTTTGACTTTAGTGATTTTGATGAGATGAAGTATATTGTGTATTGGTGATTCTTCAGGAAGGATTTAGATATCACCATGCTGAGCCTGACTACTTGATGCTTGTATCTTGGATCGCTAATACCCCTGACACGATCCCAGCCAATGCTTCTCATGTTGTAGGTGCTGGTGCGTTGGTCATTAAAAAAAGTACTAGAGAGGTAACCATACTTTCCCATTTTTTTAATCTTAAGGGACTGAAGAAGAGCATAGATATGCATTTGACTGAATCGAGATGAAACCACTTCGATGAGCAGGTTCTCGTTGTTCAGGAAAGGAGTGGATTTTTCAAAGATAAAAATGTGTGGAAGCTGCCTACTGGTGTAATCAATGAGGTGATTTACATAATAGAAATTTCTGTGATCTTTGTTGTCTTATTAAATATTTACAATCCTGGTGAATGAACTGAAGAGTTAATCTTAGAAAGAGTTCTTGCTATCTTGGTCAACGAAGCTCGTAAGATCCTATACCTTATTGCCTTGTGACTAGTGACGGGTGAACTGCTAGTGAAGGTTTGGATAATAAAAGGTGTCAGCATGTTGTTTAGGGTTGTACTTTCTAGTGCTCGGCAGGACATTTAGTAGTTGGTGAGTTTGATAAGAAGCAGTTTTTACAGCTTCTGTTTGTAACAGAACCATAGAGTGTTTACATTAACTAGGATAAGCTCTTGCGACATAAACATTCTTTTCACAACTTAGGTAGTCAGCCTAGTATTCATTTTCGTGGTAGGACAATGATGTAATGTCAAACATTGGTCCCTGGAAAGATGATTGATTATATCAAGTTTGGAATACAAAGAGAATGGTGGAAATGAAGTTCTGATTGTTTTTTCTGCTTCTAACTAAAACATTCGAATTTCCACAGGGTGAGGATATTTGGACTGGAGTAGCTAGGGAAGTTGAAGAAGAAACTGGTGTAAGTCTTTGTCTTTCAGAAATAAAGCATTTCAGTTATAATGATCTTTTACTTGACAGTCTCATCTAAAATCTGTGTTTCACTTCAGATTATTGCAGATTTTGTCGAAGTATTGGCTTTCAGGTAAATTACTTGCATTGCTTTGATTACATTTGGTCAGGCTTACCGTATCAGGTCATGATTGATTTACCTTTTACTCGCAGGCAAAGCCATAAAGCAATCTTGAAAAAGAAAACGGATTTGTTTTTCCTCTGTGTCTTAAGTCCGCGCTCGTATGATATTACCGAACAAAAATCTGAGATCTTGGAAGCCAAAGTAAAACATTTCTCTAACTTTCAATGTTGATATAATTAAGAAAATTTTAAAGTAACTGTCACCTAACTGATATATCATATTACAGTGGATGCCTATCCAAGAGTATGTAGACCAACAATGGAACAAGAAGAATGAGATGTTCAAGTTTATGGCTAACATCTGCCAAAAGAAATGTGAAGAAGTATACTTGGGATTCTCTATTGTTCCAACTACCACATCATCTGGTAAGGAGAGCTTTATATACTGCAATGCTGATCATGCTAATCGCCTTAAAGCAATGTGTGACCAAGCCTCTGCGTCTCACTGATAATATTCTCATGTCTCATCCGATTATGTTGGGCCTAACGCATCTATGTGTCCAGTGTGTGCACAAAAGGGAACTCTGTTATATTTTATCCGAATATACTAAATTGCGTGCATGTATTTGAACTAGGTTTTAACCCGTGGTGTGCCGCGAGACGATTTCTTTTTAATCAAAAAATTTATATTTTAAGTTAACCCGTAAAAGATTTTAAATATAGACAATCTGTAAAAAAATAATTATCATAGTTATGTAAATATCAAACCTGTTTAATCATATTTATGTTCAATATTATTATATTTTGAGCATATTAGTCATATTTATAATGATTTTCAACTATTATCTAAATTTTTTAACCTTATGTAGACATTATACATACATTTGTCCTTTATAGATTGAGTAATATACATCCATTTTAAAAATTTTAATTGCAAAATATGCGGAAAATTGTATTTTTATTATACATATGTTTTATGTTATAATATAAATTAAAAACAAATAAAATTATATAAATATACTTGAAAGAGATTCAGTTTATTAGAGAGAGATTTTAGGAATTTTTTTTTGATGTAATAAACATTTGTTAGATTTTAACCCGCGGTACACCATGGAGCCAAATTTTATATTATTATTTTTAAATTAAAATATTTCTGTTATGCTTGAAATCATTTAAAGATTATTAAGATTACATAATATCAAACTTAATTAAATCGGTTTGATTCGATATCTCTTATATTGATGCTGTTAAAAAAAAGTATGTATAAAGCTTTAATCATTTCGAAGTATAAAGTTTAAATATTGTAATCTATATTAATCTGTGTATCAGATATTGAGTAGGATTCAAATTTGTCCCGTCATACAATCCGTCTATAAATGTTACTTTAAAAAAATAGAATTTGTAATGATTTCTTCCAGATGTCTTTCGTACAACAATTTATTACCAAAAATTAAAGGGAAAATGTCAAAGAATTCGCCAACTTTCAAATTTGTGACGAAAAATTTTCGAACTTTGATGATGCCATTTTAATCAACAACTTTGAGTTGACTTTTCTCTAAAATTCCAAAGTTATGTTGACCGGGCCAATTTGTTCTTGGGGTTAAGTCTCTGTGACGAGCTTATAAACAGGGTTAACTGCCCATTAGTGGTTTCGGTATGTGGTTAAACGCAACATTTAAGAGAGACGAAGAAGATCAAAATCCCTAAATCGAGTTCTTCTTTCAAAATGGAAACCCTACAGAATCCAATTCTCTCTCAAATCCCCAAATCGAAAATCATGAGTTCCAGCTCCATGTCAATAGATGAAGTGAAGCTCTATGGCGAGCGTGGTGTGCCATCGAAGTGTGTTTGTGGCTTAGGTGTGACTATATTCACATCCGAAACTCAAGAGAACCAGGGGAGACCTTTCTTTCGTTGTGCAAGCAAACGAGATGTGAAATCTTGGACAAGCAAAAAAGATGTAAGTATATGTGTGTAATTAACAAGTTTGACTTGAAAAATCTATGTAAGCTAAAAATGTGTCATGTCTTTGTGCATTAGACTCATTTGTTTAAGTGGGTTGAGGATGCCGTGTATGAAGAAGTAGAAGATGCTTTACCAAGACTAGCTATCATTGGTAATGAGATTAACAAAGCCAAATTAGAGGTCAATGAGTTAAATGCTATGCTAAGAGAATTGAAGGAAGAGGAAATGCTCAGCAAAAAGGAAATCCATAAGTGTAAAATGTTTTTGAAGGTCTGTTTTATGTGGCTTTGTTTCCTCACCACTGTGTTGGGTTATGTATGGTCTAGGCAAGGAAATGAGAAGAAACTTCTGCTTGGTTATTAAGTGTATGCTTGTTGTCCTTGATACCTTATGTTGTAAACCTTTGTATTTGTGTTTGTCATGGGTGTTAAACTCAAAAATGAATGAAAACTGGCATGCCTTGTTTGGAACATGTTCTACTAATACCTGGAAAATGGTCTTAATACAATCTTAAACAAATCCGCAAATCCGATCATAAAACACAAGCAACAATGTGAACATACCAAAAAACAAGCAACAATGTGAACATGCCAAAAAACAAGTAACACAAAATCTTTATGTGACTTAAAACAGATAAAGAGACGATAAAACATTTGTAAGCTTCCAATGGTTGTACCCGATGTAGTCACAATCTCAAAAGCAATCTCTGGATTAGATCGAAAGATCTCAGCTTGATAATCCCAAATCCGTTCAAAGTGATCTTGATGTGTCACTTTCTTTTCTTTCCTCACTAATGTCTTTGCCTTTGCACATTGATCTTCAGTTACTGTGAAGTTGTACTCCCTCAATATCTTTGCAACCATCTCTTGTTTGGTGATTTTTGGATTTTTTTTTGCAGCCTTTCTCTATACAACCAAGCAATTGTTGACCGCTTCAACATCTACGAGTAACCTGACCTCACACAAGCATGTTCTTCATCATAGATCTTTACTTGCATCTAATGCTTCTTCTTCTCATATACACAATAGCATTGCCATGGACATTATACATCAGTCGCAGAACACTTCGCACCAATCTTCAAACTAGTTGACTTATAAAGCTTAATGTCGTATCTGGTTTTCAGAGAATACCTCAATACAACTATCTTGAATTTTTCTGGGCCACTGAATGTTTTCCCTAACCTCAGAAGTTCTTCAGGATCTTCAATCTCTAGAGCACCATTATCTTCATCAAAATTGTCTTCATCATTGCTGTGTGACAACGGTTATGGTATCCTCTCATCATCCCAAATCTCATCTCCACTATCAGCATCATCTCCAACGTCCTCTTCTCTCGCAGCTGTTCCAAATTCAGCTTCAAAGTCTTCGCAATTTTCTTCCACTACACCTACACCTTCTTCACAATTTTCTTCTCCTACATCTCCTTCACCATCTCCACCTACATTTGGCTCCCAATTGTTTTGTACACCTACATTTTCTTCCCTATTGTCTTCTACACCTACAAATGGTTCAGGAACAGCTACAATCGTCGATTGCTCTGATTGAGGAATTGCTTCACTGGTTCTGTTTTCCTCGTCTGCATAACCAATCTCATCACAGTCTTCATCGCCCGCTACTGCACAATCATCCCCACTAAACAGCCTCACGATCTTCTTCAATATCTTGACCTCTCTTCCTTTTGTGATTTTTCCTTTTCTCTTTAGGTTGACCAACCACCTCAGTCGCTGCTTCGGGTGGGTTTGAAACCGTCGATGTCTCTGACGGAATGCGAACCGCCTCACTGCCTTCTACTGGTGCATTTTCCACCAGTTCACTCTCTGCTGGGTTATTTTTCTCAGCCTCTGTTTCTATCTCCATTGTCGGTATTGTCTCTGTCTCCATCGCCTCTACTATATCTGTTGTCTGAACAGTCTCCACCGTTAAAGAGCAAAGAAATATTTTTGTGTTAAGGTCAAGCACAAATAATATTTTTAGAAGAACATTGAGATGGTTACTAAATCAGTAAGAGGAAGGAAAACCAGCAAAGAAGACAGTTATATTTTTCTTTATGAAAATAACCCACTGGGGATATTTTTAGCCGATCATCGAAAGGAAAAATGATTCGGTTAAATTATTTTGAGCTTGAAGTTTTGAAGAATGATTTTGGGAGTTAAAATAGGATTTTGTATCATGAAAAATCTGAGTTTTCATGAAGGAATTGTTTTTAAGGCAATGGCACATGAAACTGGTCTCGACGGGGCTTTCCTGCAAGAAACGGTTACCGAATTGTGTGTTTAAGGCTTAGAATTGCTTAGTGAAGGAATTATTGGCCACGAGTGGGAAAAGTGTCTCATCTTTAGCCAATGAATTAGGATAGTTTCGCTCCTGCTGAGGACGGCCATGTGTCTCCACGAAAATGGGATATGGATGGCCAAAACTCCCATGTCTTGCTGCCATTGGCTGGAGCTTTGTTAGACGACACTTGGTGGGTGAAAAAGCTGCTTCCAGCCGACTTTGGAAGGCTATAAATACCCAGCTTCGTCTCACTTCTTCCTCAGAGCAAAACGTTAAGAGAAAGACTAGTTAGATTGTTTCGATGGCCAATAGCATTTCGAGCAGCTTTAGGAAAGTTTTTGAGGTGGCAGGAAGGGTAGTAGGTAAGTATCTTACTCTTAGTTTCTGTTTCATCTTAGAATTATTTCTTTTAAGTTCCTAAACCTAAACGAATCTTGGTAATGCGGATCTAGAGCTTGCGAGTTGTGCGGATCTAGCATTATCGGAGATTTTCTGTCCAAAACTTCAACCAAAACCGGTGAGTACCGAAAACATGTGAAGTAGCACATGTAAAGGGTTTGCTTATTGCTGTATTCTCTTGAGTAGTTTAGGATCTATTCCTTGATTGAATTCTTGAATCGTTGTGTTGTCGTGTTTTACCTTATCGTAAATTTTTGCGGTAATGTATTAGATCTGGTGAGGTTAGATTCGTGTTCTGATTTTATCTTAGTTCATGATTGTTATTGATTATGTTGTGGAGTAGATAAAGCATTTGAACGTTTGGTTAGGTTGTTAGTATAGCCGTTATGATGTCGTTTATTTTCTAAATTGATCATTGTTAGAAATTGTCGAGACTGGATTTTTTTGTTTGATCTTTGGTTGGTTAAGGTTAACTGATTGTGCTAGCAAGTTTATTAGGCTGTTGTGTGATGAGTGTGTGGTTTTATTAATCATTCTTATGCATGGCTAAAGGTTAATTGTTGCTTGCTAGTAGATAATACAAGTATTCTTGTATATTATTGTTATTGTTGTTGTTGTAGTTGTTATTATTGTGTGGCCGAGTTACTAGTTTCATTCGGACTTAGCTATTGTGGCGATAATGTGATATTCCCAATAGTTCGGAGTGGTTAGCTACCACCGGGCACTACTTGACGAAGTAGTAAAACTCTGTTATAAGAGACTAAGTCTCTTATTTACTAAACAATTCGAACGGGTGTGATTTTTTTAGCCTTCGTGGCTAAGAGTCGGGAAAGCATTGCCTAGTAGGGAAAATCCGCATCGTAGAATTAAAGACCTTACGGTAAATTTGTATTAGTATCGTATCGGTGAGTGTTATGTGTTTTAGCTGTACTTTTGGCTGAGTACTCTTAGCTTTCTTTAAGCTTCTACTGTTTGTGTTTCTCTGTTGTTGTTTGTACATGCATCTAAATGGGCCCAAAAGCTATACATAATTTGTTAACGATTTAAGTACAATACTATATAAGTAAAAAGTGGTTTTAGTAAAAACCCGGAAGCGCCAGCAATGGTATATCAGTCATGTCTGCGTTGACACAACTCACGACAATAGTACGAGTTGCGAAGATAAAAATGTGTTGGGGTCGGTCGATTTAGGCGAACAAATGTGTTTCGGAAACCTTTCTCGACTGATTACGGGCGTCATCCGTGACGCCCTTGTTCTTTCTTAGTTTTAGGAAGGATCGAAGGGGTGTTACAAGCGTGGTATCAGAGCATGGTTTATCTATGTTCATTGGACTTCCGTTTTCAATGTTTTATCGAGTCAAATGTGTCGCAAAAAGCTGTCTAGGAAAAATATTGTTGTGATCATCTGCATTCTTTGGTTTGTTTAGAATTTAGAAACTTACATTTTGTGTTTGTGGTTTTGAGTGTAGATGCCGAGAGGACGAGGACGTGGTAGGATACAGATGAGGGCTGAACTCCCTTGGGGACCACCGACCAGGACGATGCTCGTCATGCGTGGAGCGTATGAATGTGGTAGCCCGAGTGGTACGACTTGGCATGCACGTGTTGACGGGTCACCGAGAGCGGCCCTGACACCACCTGTTGTGACAAACACTCGAGTTGGACTTAGAGTGATGGACTTGGCAAGTCTGGGCATTCGTACTGAGGCCAGGCCGAGCACTGTGGATGCCAATGGTGGACCTAATGTTCCTAAGGCGATTATATTGTCAAGTGTGGATACTAAGAGTGCTGATGGTGTTCTGATGAGCACGGATGGATATGACGTGATCGGCCCATATACTCCGTCCGACTCAGATCCTTACAAGTGTGAGGACGAGCAGATCGTAGTTGAGGCTCCAGCACCAGCCGTTAAGCCATACGTACCTGCTCCAGTCAAGACAGACGCTATATCGGCGCCTGACGCTCCAGCAGATGTACCCACGTCCGTTGTACGTGCACCCACACCAGCAGACGACGACGATGATGAGGATTGCGTGATCGTTGAGGTCATCCCCGATAGTCCAGAGGTGGTCATGGTCGAGGATTACATTAGTATCTCCTCCGACTCATGTCATTCTATTCTTGCCGAGAGTCCAAAGTCGCCTTTGGTGTTTTCTGGATCAGTTCTTAACATGCCTACCATTCCCGAGTCGGAAAATTTCGAGTTTGTGCCATCTCCGCCAGCTTCACCGATGTATCCATCACTCTCCACACCTACTTACAATACTATCTCTACCTTGTAGAGAGAGTCTTCGCCTATGTATGAGCCACCGAGTACGAGTGGAGGAGTAGTTATCAGATAGGATGGTCCTAAAGGACGTGTCTCTGCACCGAGTGGTCGTGAGCCGTATTGTTTGACTTGTGTACAGGTTTGACATTATCCGGGAAGTTGCATGTATTATCGAGCGTACATGCCTTCTGGCATAGTGTGCATAGCTTGTGGTGAGCGTGGTCATTATGCTACGTCTTGTCCCACTGCACGTCCAGGCCCTTTTGCCGGAGGATCAAGCTTCTCTTTTGGAGCACCGTCCGCTGGAGCTTCCTCATTTTACACTCGTCCAGGTCCAAACCCACATGATACCGTTCGTTTGGCGTTTCCCGACTGTACGTGCACTCGTTGCGCACTTGATAAGTCTGTATTTCATCACTTTTTGAGCATGTATTCATCATCTTTTTCAGCATCATTCACTTGTTGATTCACATCATATTGATCACTTTCTTCATGTTTTACACACTTCAGTAGGTTTTATGCATATCATGCATGTCTTGCATACATTCTGCATATTTGGAGTGTTTCAGGTACTTAGGAGACATGCAGAGCGAAGCAGAGGAACAAGTGTTACTCGACATGCATATGATCGAGTGGGACAATCGAGTGAGAAGCAGAGATACGCTGCAGAAACATACTTCACTCGATGCACATGACCGAGTAGGATGATCGCGTGAACGAATGCGAAACAGAATCAACTGTCACTCGATGGGCATACTCGAGTGACACGATCGAGGAAAGCAGAGGAGTAGCAGATGATATCACATGTCACTCGACACGCTCACTCGAGATACATGGTCGAGTATGTAATGATGCAGAGAAGAAATTATGTGTTACTCGACGCGCTCACTCGACCAACAGGGCACTACAACTTTTAACCGCTTTTTATTTTGTCGTTTTATGTCTTAAGGTTTTCCCAAACTTTACTATAAATAGGTCTCATTTGGATTGCCCAAGGGATCGAGTTTTTATCCTTAGGTTTTTATTGTTAGCCACCAAACAATCCAGAGAATTGTAATTCAGATTTCTTTTAAGTTATTAAGATTTTGCACTTAGTTCTTGAATCTTTATTGTTTATCTTCCTATCATCGTTATTATTATGCATGTTTTGAACGATTCTGGGTTTATGATGTTTAACATGATTTATGTGCCTGAGTAGTGTTAGGATTTTTGAGGATGGGATAGATTAGGTGGAGAATGTTAGGTTGCTAGAGTGTTTAAGTTAGATTCGTTTGTTCCCTTATAGATTAGTGTATTCATAACTAATTCTTCTCTGATCAAGTTGAATTAGATTCCAGACATTTCAGCACCTACTAAGTGTTTGATGAAATTTCTGAACAACTAATACCAGAGATATACTTGTTTAGCCTAAGAGATTAGATGTCTAAGAAGTTTATTGACATTAATGGACAATTTTTTCATGCATGGTTACTGCATGTTTCATCAAAGAGATTTGAGATTAGGAAGTGTTGTAAACATGATAGTTTCTGCTAAGAGATTCGATTAACTAGTATTTGATGTTCATTGTCTAGGGATTAGTATGTTTGTCGTTTGTTTAACACTCAAAGTAGATTAGCATACTCCACCTACATCAATAACCTCATCCTCAGGACCTTCTATCCATTTGTGCTTTATGTTTAATTCTCTTGTTATTTACTTGTTCCGCTTTGTTTTCTTGCCAATATCAATAATCATTACGTTTTAGTTATGCATGGTAATGTTTTACAGCTTTACATTTATCGCATGTTTAACATGTTTGCTTAGAATCACTCAAAACCAAAATCCATTTATACTTCGCTTGACTTAATCATTTTTGATACATCTTGATTGCTAACATCGCACCTGACTGGACTGATACATATTGTACTGCAATGAAATGATAGTACTCTACGGTAATTGGTAGTAAAATCCTAGAATCAATTTGGCGCCGCTGCCATTTAGATGTTTGTTTGTTACATTTGAGATTTCAGATTTGCTAAGATCAAGTTCTTACTCAACATTCACTACAGTTACTCACTTTGTTCTTTTTGGTTGTCTATTGATTCAGGTATAACTCTTGCTCAACTGCTCCTACTCGACTGACAAACTCAACCATCTCGCGAGCTAAGTTGATTTGAGTTGTATGCACACACGATCGCAAAGCACAGAAAACTTGTTCCAGCCCTCCGACTTTATTGATCGCTTGGTACCTACATCAAGACAGCAACGCAACAGAGTTACACCACCACAAGTGGAGATGGGAAACTCTCAACAACAACCTCCACAACGGGCACCTACACGGATTGGAGCTGGTGATACTCCACGCAACCATACCCATCGTCAGGGTATAGTGCCCCCAGCTGTGCAGAACAACAACTTTGAGATCAAGAGTAGTCTGATCTCCATGGTCCAGGGCAACAAATTCCATGGTCTGCCTATGGAGGATCCCCTAGATCATCTTGACGAGTTTGATCGCCTATGCAGTCTCACAAAGATCAATGGTGACAGTGAGGATGGTTTTAAGCTCCGACTCTTCCCATTCTCTCTGGGTGACAAAGCGCATCAATGGGAGAAAACTCTACCACACGGATCTATTACCTCCTGGGAACAATGCACGCAGTCATTTCTTGCCAAGTCCTTCTCAAACTCCAGAACTGCACGTCTTCGCAATGAGATTTCTGGGATCACTCAGAAGAATGGTGAAACACTCTGTGAAGCATGGGAGCACTTCAAAAGTTATCAGTCTTAGTGTCCCCACCATGGCTTCACCAAAGAGTCTCTCCTCAGTACTCTCTACCGAGGCGTTCTCCCAAAGATCAAGATGTTACTTGACACTGCTAGCAATGACAACTTTATGAACAAGGACGTCAACGATGGTTGGGAGCTTGTTGAGAACCTAGTCCACTCTGATGGCAACTACAATGAAGACTATGATAGAACCATCAGGGCAAGCATAGATCTTGATGAGAGAAGTACAAGAAAGAGATGAAAGTTGTGAATGATAAGCTGGACAGACTCTTGATGAGCCAGCAAAGGAATGTCCATTTTGTCTCTAAAGAAGACCCTTTCCAGATTCCAGATGGGGAGGGAGAACATTCTGAGGAGATAAGCTATATCCAGAATCAAGGTGGATACAACACATGATACAACTCATATAAGCAAAACCCCAATCTGTCTTATAGGAGCACCAACGTTGCAAATCCACAAGATCAAGTATATCCACCTCCACCACAGCAGCAGGGGCAAAACAAGTCATTTGTGCCTTACAACCAAGGTTATGTGCCCAAACAACAGTTTCAGCAAGGTTACCAAACTCCAACTGGACCACCACCAGGATTCCAACCTCAAAAAGCTCCGCCACTTCAGGCACCATATGCAGCAACATTTATTACAAGGACAGACAAGTGGATCTATAGAGTCTGCTAAGAAGTTTGCAGAGATGAATAATAAGATGGACTGCACATATAATGCTCTCAATCTCAAGATTGAAGCTTTGACCTCTAGAATGCTTCACCTGGAAAGCAAGAATGCATCTACTTCTTCAGGACAACTCTCAGGGAAAGCCATCCACAACCCCAAAGTGTTTGCAACAGCCCATGCCATCACCTTAAGAGAGTTACCTATTACAAAAGACTCTATGGATATCACTGAGGATAGTGAGGATCTAGATGGGGAGAATTTTGCTCCAAATGAAGATTCCACACAACAAATCAAAGTTGATCATGATCCACCTGCCATGGTAAAACATGATGTTCCAAAGAGTAAGGAACCACGTTACATTCCTCCACCCTACACGCCTCCATTACCATTCCCTGAAAGATTCAAGAAGAAAATAATGGAGAAGTATAAAGGACTGCTCGACACACTCAAAGGGACTGAACTAACAAAAGCTTTGGTAGATGCTCATGCAAAGATTCCGTCTTACAATAAAATCATGAAAGAGGTCATATTGGGGAGGATTCAAGAAAAGAAGGAAATAACTAAAGATGTTGAGCAGAAAGCTGAGGAAGATGAGAGAGTAAAATCACTTAACCATGAGTGTTGTGCCATTTTCCATAAAGAGGTTATCCCAAAGAAGGTAGAAGATCCTGGTTCATTTACTTTGCCTTGCACAATAGGTCCATTATCTTTCAGTAGGTCTCTCTGTGACCTAGGAGCGTCAGTTAGTCTCATGCCTCTCTCTGTGGCTAGAAGGTTAGGTTTTACACAATACAAATCGTGCAGCCTATCCCTCATCTTGGCAGACAGAACGGTTAGGGTTCCATATGGCTTGTTGGAAGATCTCCCAGTAAAGATTGGTGAAGTAGAAGTACCAACTGACTTCATTGTTTTGGAGATGGATGATGAGCCTCAAGATCCACTTATCCTAGGAAGACCATTCTTATCTATAGCAGGAGCAATCATTGATGTCGGGAAAGGGATGATTGATCTCAATCATGGTAAGAACTTCAAGATGAAGTTTGATATCAAGGATGTCTTGAGTACGCCAACAGTTGATGGGCACACCTTCTCCACTGAAGATGAGTCAACTAAGAAAATACTCCAGCAAGGTGTCAAAGAATCTATGGATCCCTCATCGGATGGTTGTTTAGAACTTCGAATTATCAATGTTTTGAAAGATTCAATGACAAGGCTAACAGCTATGGTCAAGAAAATGGGTGAGTTGATGGGCACACCTTCTCCACTGAAGATGAGTCAACTAAGAAAATACTCCAGCAAGGTGTCAAAGAATCTATGGATCCCTCATCGGATGGTTGTTTAGAACTTCGAATTATCAATGTTTTGAAAGATTCAGTGACAAGGTTAACAGCTATGGTCAAGGAAATGGGTGGGCAAATCAATAAACTCAAAAGAAAAATCAATGGTCCCTATCCTAGGAGACAGAGTGTGAGTGTAAAGATGAGCAGCACATCCTGTGACATGACCCAGGAAAAAGAGGAGGAATGAGATATTTGAGAATAGAGAGTGCTTCAACACCTCTCTATGAGCCTCCTAAAGCCTAAAAGGTATAAACAGTCAAGCTTAGTGACTTTAAACAAGCTCACTTGGGAGGAATTCCCAAAGGTATCCCTGTAAATACTGCTTAGGATTTCTTGTTATTTTGGTTTTTGTTTTTGGTTTTATTTGGTCAGGACGTCAAACATGTTCAGATATGTTTCTCCACGAGTGATGTACTAGCACGCAACAGAACTCCTTCTCCATCAAGACATTCCGCTTATGACTATAGGGCACAATGTTTCTTTCTCTCCTCCAAGACAGTCTTCCCATGATCTTAGGGACATCAAGAAGAAAGAAGAAGAATGCAGCAAGGCGGAAAGCAAAGGTGAGCATCACGTTGAGGATTTGACTAAGGATCCAGACAAGCATCTCAATGAAGACCGGATTGTTGATCTAGGAGCGTATCATTTTGAAGATCTTACTAGGGATCCGGTTGAACATTATGTTGAGGATCCGGTCGAGCAGAACGTTGAGCAACTAGTAGAGGCTCCCCCTGCGCAGCCTGCACTAGGCGCTTATACAAGCGAGTCCATGACTGCATACCTGGACTGCTATTTTCAGTAAGGTACAACTCCAAACCTTCATTCGTATATACCATTGCATTTTCATAGTTTTGTTTGTTTGATTCTCAAACTAGCTCTCAAAATTTTATTACACAAGGGATTGTGTAATTTAAGTTTGGGGGAGGGTTTGGGATGACATTTGATGTTGTGTTCTCTTTTCTTATTTCGAATTTTTAGCATATACTCTGCATTCATATATGTGCATTGAAAACCCTTAAAAATTTGAAAAAGTTTCAGAAACATCTTTAAAAACAGAGTAATCATGTAGCTTGCATTTGCATATTAGGATTGAGTCTAGATTGTTTCATGTAGGATTGTTGCATTAGCATAGGGGGTGATGATGATTTACACCTTGTTAACTTGCTATGATTCACGAGTTGAGATCAATGCCCTGGTTTTTAGCTCTTTGATGCATGATGATTGAACTTGAAGTAAGTCTGAAACAAACTTGGAATTCATGAAGAGCATTCTTGAACTTGGTTGAAACATGTTGTGATATGATCTCATTCCTTACCTTATAAGAACTTAATCTTGACTTGCAAATATTTGGTTGTGTTTTGCTTGCATACTCATGATCACCATATACATATTTGGATCATCTTTCTCTTTTCACCACTCTTGTTGATCCAAGTAGCTGATCTTTCTTTTGATCAGTTTGCCATACCCACAGCCTATCCTTTTCTTTCAAGCCAATTGATAATTGTTGAGTGGTAGGTCTTTTACCGGATTATGCTTGGGGAGAACGTGTTAGGTATGAGCCGACAAGATTAAAATCTTGAGTAGTTCTGATTTTCAATTTCAAATCAGATAGGAATAGGTCTAGATTCTTTGACACCTTGCTGGAGGAGAATGTTTTTCAAGAAGTTTATACTCTAGTGATTGAATTTTGTGGGGATAGCATGATATACAGAGAATGGTTCTGGGATGTAAAAAAAGAGAAAAATTTTTGATGTCTTATAACGTAAGAAGAAAACAGAACCACAGTAAGGAAGAAACCCCATATCCACTAGTATTGATAAGAAACTTCTCCTAAGGCAAAAAGAAAAAAATGGGAATGATGTTGAAGGGTAGACACAGGGATCATTCAGGGTTAGATGATTAAGAGTAAGCAGTTGGGAACCATTGGGTAGTGAAGATTTTATTCATGTATGCATTTGTCGGTCCTCACCTTTAGCATTCTACCTAAAGCTCTTCATTGAGAGATCCTTGTCCTGAAATTGTTTAAACCCTCTTAATTCTCAAAATCTTTTTCTGCCTAGCCAAGTGAATTTGTTAAGCCTTGCAAAACCAAATTCATATTCTTGAATAATGAATGTTAAAAGGAGTGAATGATTTGAATGCATGTGTAGGTCAAGGGATAGGATCAGTTTCAGATTAGATGAGTTTATCTTAAGTATTTAAGTAAAGTTCTCTCAGCATGCATCAAAGACTTAGTAATTAGGACATTGATTTTAACTGCTCTACCTTGCAAGTTACGGGTTCTGAGACCCCATTTTCAAACCTCTCTTCCACTTTGTTTCTTTTGCTTTGCTTGAGGGCAAGCAAAGACTAAGTTTGGGGGAGTTGATAAGTCTGTATTTCATCACTTTTTGAGCATGTATTCATCATCTTTTCAGCATCATTCACTTGTTGATTCGCATCATATTGATCACTTTCTGCATGTTTTACATACTTCGGTAGGTTTTATGCATATCATGCATGTCTTGCATACATTCTGCATATTTGGAGTGTTTCAGGTACTTAGGAGAAATGCAGAGCGAAGCAGAGGATCAAGCGTTACTCGACATGCATATGATCGAGTGGGACAATCGAGTGAGAAGCAGAGATACGCTGCAGAAACATAATTCACTCTATGCACATGACCGAGTAGGATGATCGCGTGAACCGAGGGAATGCGAAACAGAATCAACTGTCACTCGATGGGCATACTCGAGTGACACGATCGAGCAAAGAAGAGGAGTAGCAGATGATTTCACATGTCACTCGACACACTCACTCGAGATACATGGTCGAGTATGTAATGATGCAGAGAAGAAATTATGTGTTACTCGACGCGCTCACTCGACCAACAGGGTTACTATAACTTTTAAACCGTTTTTTACTTTGTCGTTTTATGTTTTAAGGTTTTCCCAAACTTTGTTATAAATAGGTCTCATTTGGATTGCCCAATGGATTGAGTTTTTATTCTTAGGTTTTTATTGTTAG